GGCACCATCCAGTTTTCTTCACCACATTTGCTTATGCACCCGCTTTGTCTTTCCACGGGTTACTTTTTAATTACAAAGGATACAAGGTAGCTTTACAGTAGAGAGGCCTGCTGAAAAACCATCATTATTTAAGTAATGAAAATTTAACAGCTCGATTAATGGGACAAATGGTCACATGCCACCTGCTTGTGTAGTAGGAAGTACACCATCACCCATGTAGCGTTCTTGTCAAAATGTTTAACCTGAGTCTAATTGTGAGGAATTAGTCAGATCCTAATGACAGCATGTTTCTCAAATTAACTGACTTAGAGGCTTCAAAATTACCTATTGTAAGAAAAGTTAGGAGATTGAAGTGGCGTATCATTCAAATGCTAGACATGAGATCTGATTGTCTTTTTGATAAAAAACTATGAAGGATTTGAATGAGAAAGAGAAAATTGAATATGACCCATACATTAATTATCATTACAGCAATTTTAATTTATTGAATACGTAAATACTACACTCTGCTTTTACAAGATGGGATTGCTTCTAGAAGACACTGTGCTTGAAGTATTTAGAATAAAGCATCCCGATATCTAATATATATATATATGAGCTTCAAAAGGTTCATAGAAAAGTCGATTAGCTTTTCATTTCATTTTCCACAGAATGTTTAGGGCCTCTCATAAGTGTGATGGGAAGTCAAAGTGCTGCTACTAATGTTCCAGTGCACAGATGGGTATACAGTGAACCCTCGCCACTTCGCGCTTCGACTTCCGCGGCTTCACTCTATCGCGGTTTTTGCGTAACAGCGTGTGCTCTGTCATTACTGCCACTGATTGGCTCATACTGTACACGCTTCTGTCTGCATCGCTACGTATTAGAGCTACGTATCAGATGCATTTTTGCTTTTGTACAGTGTACTGTAATTGTTTGCGATTTTTAAGAAATTTTATCTAAGCCCTATGATGGCTCCTAAACGAGCTGCTTCTTCTAAGCCTTCTGACAATAAAAATAAGCGCCAGAGGAAGATGCTCACCATCCAGGAAAAGGTAAAACTTTTGGATATGATCAAAGATGGCAAGAAAATCGTGGAGGTTGCACGCCATTTCGACTTGAATGAGTCTTCCGTTCGCTCCATCCGTTGTACTTCATAATATAATAAATGATCATTGTAACGTCCAAAATGTTTTACTGCATTTTCCCTTTTTTCATTTAATAAATTGGGTAATACGAGTGTAATGGTGACTAAAGGGTGTTTTTTCATGTCCTCTATGCTCTAACTACGAAAATATTTGATTTACAAATAAGGAATCCTACTTCGCAGAATTTCATTTATCACGGTAGGGTCTAGAACTGATTAACCGCGATAAACGAGGGTTCACTGTATTTCGAACAAAGCACATTTCTGTGATCAGTGGACAGACGCAGACAAGTTCTCTCAGTGATCTACCACATATGCTAGAGTATAAGCTGTCCCGAATATCAGCCGAGGCACCTCATTTTACCACAAAAACCGCATGAAAAATGTGCTGAACTACTCCCAATGGTGTTGCTCTACCTCACTTTCCAGCACTAGATTGGATACGATTCTATTGTTTAACATAGGGCTTACATAGCCGAATTTTTGGCAATTGACTTTTAGACCATTCTTCTAATCTGCCTCAGTCTAAAACTTTTGCTGAAATCTGTCAGCCACGGGTGACCCTGCAAGCCACCAGAGTACAGCACAACAAACTGAAAGATGGATGTTGGTCGGATCTCTTAGCCAAGAATTAAAAATTCCCTCTAGATCGAGCCTATCTACTTCTCTAGTCTTATCTCCCAATATTTGCTACTTCCCACACGGGCACTCCAACTGCTTTCTTCAGTATTATGTCAAAAATTACTCCATCAGGAATAATCCCACTTTTCTACTATTTTCCCCTTTCAAATGTCTGTTAGCATACTTTTAATATCTCATGTAAAGTCTACTCCATAAACACTATCCTTACCTTTCTTTATACTTCCAACTTTCCATGTGCATTATAATACAACCACATAACCCTGACATATGTCATATCATGAGCATCCCAAGGAGCTCTGGTGGCACTGTGGGTTAGGAATAGGGTTGCTAACCACGAGGTTGGTGGTTTAAACACTCAAGCTGCTCTTTGGCAAAAAGATGAGGTTGTAGACTCAAGAAAAGTCATGGGAGTCTATATAAGGGTTACTATGAGCTAGAATCAACTTGATGGCAGTGGGATCTAGAACCTTTCAAGGTAAACTCATGTCTGCTCATCTCCATAGTCCCCCACAGCACCTAACAAAATAGTTTGCAAATAAGTTGGTGGGTTTTCCTGGATTTAATACATTTTCCTTGAGTTCAGGCTTTGGCTCATATTTCGCCAACTCTGCCTTTACTTTTGACTCTCTAAGGCTGACATCCATGAAACTTGCTCTCAGTATATTGTGAGGTACCATCAAGTTGGTGCCACCAACCTATAGTGACCATATGCACAACAGAAGAACACACTGTCCACTTAGCACCATCCTCCCAATTGTTCCCATATTTGAGCCACTGTTGTAGCCGTGGTCTCCATCCATCTCCTTGAGGGCCTTCCCCTTTCTGCTGCTCCCTTACGGTCTTCTATGGCAGTGTGTAAACACATAGACCACGAACTGAGTTTCTAATGTAAATTATTAACTGTTGATTTGGAGGAGATTACTTAATATTCTTGTGCTTGAATTTACTAATCTAGAAATTGTAGCATCCAATTTAAATGTTCTTACAAGGATGAAATGAGTTACTCGGTGTCTGTCATAGTATAAGTAGTCAATAAAGGTTAGCTAGTCAGATGTAGTCAATTACTTAATATGGCCCTCCTAACCATAAGCTCTTATTAGAAAGCCTGGCCTTTGTGCCTGTGGCTATAATCCCATTGTAGGAGTTCTCTGCTATGAGAAGGGCCTAGGTGGTACAGTGGTTACGTGTAAGGCTGTGATCCACAAGGTCAGCAGTTCAAAGCCACCAGGTGTTCCAGGAGGATGATGGGGCTTTCTTCTCCAGTCAAAATAGAGTCTTAGAAACCCACAAGGGCATTTCTCCCCTGCCCTGCAGGGTCACTTTGGGTCATTATTGACTCCATGGCAGGGAGTTTGGTTTTTCTTTGCTTTGGGAACAGACAGGATTAAGGTGAGATGAAGTCTCCACTTTAGCAGAGGGCCTGAACCAAGACTACCCTTTGTTTTCTTGGGGCTGTGGTTTCCTGAAATACAACCACAAGACCATTAATGCCATCCCTCTGTGTAGGATGGCATCTCAGAAGCAAACAGAAAAATGACCCATGAGCATCCAAAGAAGTGCCCCAGAGGATCCAGTTCCAGATCACTGTCTGAAGAGTGCCAGGCCAAGACCAGAGGCACCAAAGATTGTGGCACAAAGACCAAGAGACCAGAGCAAAGAAGCCAGGTCGAGTCGAGAGGCCTCAGCAAAGAGACGATGAAAGAGAGTAGACGGGCGCTGCCAAGATGATGGGACTGCGAGGCACAGGGACAGGAGAGCTTCCTGCCAGCAGATCCTCAAAATTCTACATTTCATTAACAATTAATAAAGCTATTTATGCAGCAGTGTATTCAACGGAAACCACCCACTCTCTTTGATTATATTTGTGCTTTTTGACCTGGGATATGGGTTTTAAATGCATGTTGTCTGTAACAGCTTCATTAAAATACAAAATATTTGTAAAAACCATACTAATGATTATCTTATTTTTCCTTGTCTATGGAGAAAAAAAATACTAAACCATTGTTTTAAATGGTAATTTCTGTTGGTGGTTCTGTATGGCCCTTGCTACAAATCAGGAGCAAAGTGGAGAGTCAGGAGCAAAGTGGAGAGTCAAGGGGGAATCAGGAGCAAAGTGGAGCAAAGGAGAGAGTCAGGAGCAAAGTGAATCAGGAATCAGGAGTAAAGTGGAGAATCATGGGAGGGACAGCTGGTATCAGAAGAGACGGAGAAGATGGGAGCTGGAGGTATGTCGGAGCTCCGTCTGAGCAAACGGGAACTCGAGATCAGAAAGGATGCTCCAAACCATTTTCTCTGCTATTATCTCAGATTACATCCAGATTATCAGGCTAGTAATACTCATTTGGCAATGTTTTTATATCACTTGGTGACATCTGTTTTATTGCTGCCAGGAACTTAAATTCAAATCAGGTATTATTAATAGATTTTTATTTGGGCAAAGCTTATTTTCTTAAATAAACTGTAAGCACAAAAGAGCAAGGGTTGATTATTGATTACTGATTGTATTAGACATGCCAAGAACTTGGCTAAGTGATTTCTATAAATATTCCATTCAACATTCAAAACCGTTTAAGTTAGCTATTATTTACATACTATACGTAAGACAAAACAAAAAAATAAAGGTTTAGGGAGGGTCATCTGTCCAGTTAAACTAATCAGTAGTTAAAGGATAATCCTGGAAGGCACAGACACTATTTAGCTGAGCAGTTTGTCAGTGTTTCTCATAGATCCGCCACACAATCCACGTTTCTTTATTGCTATGTATTTTACTGCAGTGGTATTTAAAGCATATCTAACTTGGCATGTTAGCTCCTCATTTTTAATGTTCCTTAATATAGACCTCTCATTTCTAACATGATTTTTTAAAGTTTATCTCAGAATCCAATATAGATGTTGTTCCACTGTCATAACAAGAGCATGATATTTTTTGTATATATGTATAGAATTGCATAGGAAAAGGAATTGAGGATGGAGAGTTAAACTAATGCATTTAAGTCAATGTTTTTAACCTCAAGAGACTACATTGCTACTGATATTTGGATATCATTAAACAGATATCATACTTATGAGACTCTCAGAGAGGAAGTCCCAGCATTGCTCAGTGAGGGGCGTACACATATCAACGCCAGGCCTCAAATACTTCACCAGTGGGGAAGAAAACACCTTCTAACCCATAAGGAGGAACATCAGAGTAGGATGCTGAATTCAGAAGTCCGCTCTCGATCCCACTCACCGAAGTATTCATCCGCAGGTGGGTTCTCCATGTCATACAGCATCTTCTTGGTCAGATGTTCAAGCTCATCTTCTGGACGGAATGAGGAAGGAACAGCTGGGGGACCCATTGGCCCTGGGTGTCCACCCTGAAGAGAAGAAAATACCACAGCCTTTAAATCCAACTTAGGACAACAACCCAAACAACCCATCCAAAGAAGTCATGCATTGCACTGCAGAGGGAAAAGCACTGGTGCTGGCCAGGTGGAGACATCCGTTTCTGCAGCAGCTGTATTACTTAGTCAGTATCTGACCTTCGACTCAGTGCTCTATTCATTTGCCTTATACGGGGTCATCTATCAGGCATTAGAAACCCATGTTGCCAGCAGGAGGAATCTACCCTTCAGGGTTGGGGAGGGGGGCTGTCACATAGCAAGCACTGTAATTATAAAGCCAAATTATTCAAGGTTCCTGCCTTTGACAACTCACAATATAGGAAGAAACCGACATGAAATTAGATCATTACAATAAAATGTACGTACTCACACACAGGTATAAAATCAGTACCCTGAGTTGGGGGGATACATTGGTTTTCACTAGACACTTTAAAAAACGAAACAAAAAAGGAAAGGAACTTAAAAAAAATAGAAAGAAGGAAAATGGAGCTTGCAAGAGCCGTCGTTATAAAGAACCTGTTTTCTACCCAAAACAGCGAGAAATGGAAAAGAAGAGGAGTTAGGCGTTTCTGACAGTTAAACACTCAACTACAAATGGAAACGCTGGTAGTTCAAACCTTCTGGGAAGAAATTTGGAACTAAAGGGCTACCATATGGTTTTAGAAAGGTCATGGCCTCGAAACCCCGCAGAGAGAGAGCAATTCTACTCTATGCCATTGGGGTTCCTTGAGTTGGAATTGACCAAATGAGATTCAGAGTGAAGTTGAGGTTAGAGAGGCAAGGTTAAGTCCATGTCACGGCTATGTTTTTAGGCAAAAAAGACTCATGTGGATTTTACAAGCATGGTTGATTTTATTAAAGTCAAAACATCTTCAAACACCACTGTCAATGATATTTTAAGAATTGTCATCAGCATCATGGTATATTTAGCAATTTAAAGGCAACTATGAGTAAGAAAGACCACAGTGGGGACATAAAACTGCTCCCACAAATCTGTTCCCTCTTTTTCCTGGGCATACAACAACTAATGCCCACCCTCCCGTGTTGTTTTACATGGTCATGGGAAATACGAGATAGAAGGAACCTGGGCCCAGAGGGATCATGTGAAGGAAAGCCATCCACTGCTTAATGAGGGAGATGGGAAAAAATACGCTCAAAGGCAATGGTTGAAAGTGACGCGTAAGTAAATGGGTTACTTTTTCCCCCATTTACATATTTAAATGATATGGAAAAATAGTGTAATTTTTAAAAGTGTCAGGAAATAGAAAATGTCCAAATACCGGCAGCTGGTTCTTCATTGAATTTTGTTTTTTTTTCTTGCTAGAGGCTCAAGAGATTCCCAGGAAGGCTTCATACGGATATAACGACCCAATGTGATCTAGGCCCCTGATCAAAGTTATAGAGAGTAATGACGAAGGCTGGTTTTTATAACCAAAATCCATTTGGGTAGAATGCTTGGTGAACAAGGAAGCGCTCCTAGGTTAAGGATAACACACATCTCGGTGGCCTTCATATTTTCATAACAAGGTTGAGCTGCTAACCATCAGAGGTCCAAGCCTACCAGCTGCTCCTGTCGATCCTAGAGAGAGTTGCCATAGGTCAAAACAGACTTGACGGCCGAGTTTTGGTTGTTCCTGGTATTTTGAAATACTTCATACGGAGTTGCATAGAGACCTATAGTGCAGAAGGCTCAACTATGTAGAATCTGTCTAATCTTGGGACTTTTTAGGTTTCAGCTGAGCCTCTAGACTCAGACAGTCTAGGAAGGCAGGCCAGGTGATGGACTTAGGAGAGTCAGCCCGTTAAAACGCTATGGATCACACCCTTCAGCTCATATTATTCAAAGGGTTCCCATGAGTCAGAGTCAACTAAGCCGCAGCCAACAACCAGTACCATCACCTTAGCTCTGCCTGTACGTTCCATTCCCTGCCCTCAGTGTCTTGATGTGTAAAAAATGTTTTCAAAGGTTCCGCTGATGCTATTCTATCAGTGTTTTTTGTGTGCCCTTCATGTCGGATCATAGATATCAATAGTGAAATCACAGGTATTCACATTTGCAAGTACTTTGTAGTCTGCAAAAACAGACATATACTGAGTAAGTGGAAACCTCATCATTATAGAGGTTTCCACTGACAGAAAATACTGAGGGCACTTATCAGCATCCCCTGAAACAATCCAGGGCTTCATTCAGCATTCTTCATCTGAGTAAGCAGTGGGCAGGTCACAGGGTTTCTGCAGCCTACTGAACTTTCACTCAAACCAAGAACACAGGAAGGTTAATCAACCTACCCTACCGTCATCCCCCTTGGATGGAGAAGGCAGCATCTCTGCCACCCCAAAAGAATAGAGGAAATATGGTCAACCGTCTACACTATGGCAAATCCATCTGACTCCAGGGTGGGGGAAGTCTTCCACATTGAATCTCTGCGACAACATTTAAATATTTAAATACACATGTGCAAAGGAACTATTTTTACAAAACTTCGACTCACTACCTGGCCACCATGTCAGCTTCCTGATTTATTCCAATTTTGGCCTTGACATGGGTTGCTATTTTCCCTTTAGTCCTTACAGGCTCTTGATTGCAAAGATACTTGGTGCTCGAGAACTTGAACTTCGTGCAAATCCCAAACCTTACCAGCAAAGCACCGCCCAGTCAGATAAAACATCAGGAAAAGGCAGCCAAGATACTCAGAAAGATTACAGGATAATGAATACTCTATCACTCTGGGTACCAGAGCTGCTCATTTTTCTTGTCCATTTGTAATGATGTACAAGAGGCTCCTACTCTCATAGGGAAAATAACTTCAATTATGTGTTCTTGAAAAAAGAAACACTGAAATTATCTTCCTTTTCAAAAGGTAGAATTAGCCCCGTTTTGGAGCTGAAGGCCTGCCAGAAAAAATATATTTCTGATATTTTTGTTCTTTTCTTCCCCCTATTTAGCTGTGTCAAGTTTGCACTTTGCAATTTCCTGTGGCTGCCTCATCTTTCTGACTCTCAGGGAATTAGACTACATATTCTCCCCTCACTGCCTGGCTATTTAATGGAAGGCACGGGTTCTTCTGGAGGAAGGTGGACGGCTGGCTGTTGGACACTGATTCTGCTGCAAACTAAAACAACTGGCCCCAAGGCAAGGAGTCACCGAGCATGACGGAAGGATGGGAGGATGGCCTATTTGTTAACAGTCAGAAACTCACAAAGGAAAATTCCTTACAGCTTCCTCTAAGGAGAAAAGCATGTTCTCCGTTCTATTCATAAGTTCCAAAGCCAATGACTAGCCAAAGTCCTAGCCAGAGACTGATGGCTGTAAGTAACAACATGGCAGGACTACAGGCCGGCTTCCTGCAGTCAAGAGAAAGGGCTGGGCTCTCTCCCCTAAGGCAGCTGTAGGGGCTACCCTCTGAGTTTTATGGGGATCCATGTCCTTGGCAGTGGCAGTCAGAAAATCAAACGACATGTTACATTGGGTAAAACTACTGTCAAAGACGTCTTCAAAATATTAAAAAAGCAAAAATATGTCACTTTGAGGAATAAGGGGAGCCTGACCCAACCCATGTTACCTTCAATTGCCTCACTGGCATGGGACACTTGAACAATGAACACGACATACACAAGAAGAATGGATGTCTTTGAATTATGGTGCTGGTGAGGAATGTTCTATATCATGGACTGTCTGAAGAACAAACAAATCTATCTTTTCTAAGTACAGCCAAAATTCTCCTTAGAAGGCCGAATTTTGCCTCAGGTACCTTGAACCTGCGATCGGGAGGTCGTTGGGGAAGAAACCATAGTTTTTTAAAACAGAGAGTCAGTGACCAAGCTGACCCTCCACATGATAGAGAGTGAGCGTCAACAATGGGCCCACGCACAGGCAGCCGGTGAGGATGGTGCAAGACCACACAGTGTTTCCTTCACTTGTACGCTGGGTCACGGTGAGGCGGGACTGACCCAGGGCGCCTAGCCTCAGGCTGAGCTGTAGGGAAAGTGGCTTCTTTTCTCTCCACCTCTGCTGTCGCCACAGGCCAAAGGGTCCTCCCGAGTCTCTGCGCTTGGAACATGCTTGTTCCGACAGCTTGATGTCCCAGGCATCACTTCAGCTCCCTGAGAAGTTGTTTCTCTATTACTGATTGATCACCTATACAATGAAGAAGAATAATGCCGACGCTCCTAGGAAGAAAATGCAAAACACTAAACCTCAAATCACCGGCAGGTATAATTATCCACAGCGACAGCTCACAAACGGCTACCAGGCTTGGCTTTCACCTTGGGATTGGAATAGTGACAGATAATCTCTCATCAGTGACTGATTCTCTTCTTTCCTCTCTGCAGATTAAAATACCATATGTACTCAAGTATAAGCCAAGTTTTTCGGCACAATTTTTAATGCAGTTTTATGGTAAAATTAGGTACTTCGACTGATATTCGGGTCAGCTTATACTCGGGTATATATGGTACTTCTGTATGGTGTACCTGAATTTCATATTAATGATTGCTTTAGCAAGAGATGTACTTAGTGAGTTCTTTTATCTATAAATCGTGAAATACATTTGGTGAAGGCTTGCTCTGCTGGCTCTCCAAAGGGCTAATCTCTCCCCATCACAGCTTTTGATATCAGATGATAAATAGTAAAACAGGGCTTACGTAAGCTAGTCAAAGCACAACAGGCTCCTTTTATGCTTTCCTGCCTGGGTGTGCTCCTGGCAGATGAGACACAGCCACTGGTGCTATCCCACTGGGTAGGCAAGAAATAGGGATGACTGGAAGGTATGTAGTAGTGGCTCCAGCTTCTCAGGGTTAAGCAGCAGCTGGATCAAAGGATCTCCTGGTAATGGAATTCACAGTATCATTTCACTGCCCTTTCTCTACCCCCCAGTGCACCCTCCTTAAATGAGAAAGCAAGTTGTCTACATAAGATGAGACGATCGATCAATGTTTTCTCCTCAAACATCACTTTACATTGTCCTTACAGA